CCTAATCATACCTTTATAGACCTGAACAGATACATAAAACTTGGGGTTTTTCCTTTTTTTTCATTTTCGGTGTTTAAGGATTTTTGTCCTGGAAGAACTGAATGCAGGATGTTGAAGACCTCAACTTCAACATGTTCTTTAACTACTCACTAAGATTGTGTCGACTAGTGTTAGTGTTCGACATGAATCTATTGAAGGTTATGTACCATTTACGCAGCTGAAGAACGTGGTTAAAGATGCAGAAAAAAAAAGTTCAGATATTGTAAGGTTAATTGTTATTCTTCACTTTCAACCCCACCATTCCTCTTTTTAGAAGAAATGTGGCATGCTAACATATCAGAATTATGCTTCATCTCTTCGTGTTGTAGTTGTGGTATCAAAAAAAGGAGGAGCCAAGATGCCAGATCGAACTTCTTTATCTATCAGAATAAAGATGAAAGTCAATTTGATCAGTAAAGAGTATAATGTTACTTCAATCAACAATTCTAGTTTTATTCAGGAGTCAAGAGTGAAGTACAAGAAACATGTCAACTTATTTTAAAGCTCCTTTGTTGCCTGACATATTTCTTACACATTTCTTTTCCACCTTTCCCTTACTCATTACAATCAAGAAGCATTTTGATAACTTGTTTAATTTTCCTAAGCATTCCTTTAATCAATTAAAGAGGGTAGAAAGCATGATCTTGTCTTGTCTTGTCTTGTCTAAGAAGAAACAGAGACATGCTGGTGCTCTTAACTTTTATGGTGCAGGTTCACGAAACTTCAAATATGTTGAAAAGAAAATCAACCTTTGCAAACTTCAATTTCTCATCAAAATTCAAGAGCCTCTGCAAAATTAACCAAATTGGTCTTTGAATCCTTGAAACAAGAAATTCTCTTAAAGGGTTGTCTCAAGTGATTAATAACTTGAGATGATTATAAGTTGAAAATTCGAATTTTGAATTTTAAGATGTGTGAAGAAAATTAAATAAAAAAAAAAAAGAAAAAGGAAAGGTGTTATCTCCTATTGTCCAGACAACCAAAAATTTAAGTTAGGGAGATAAAAATTCTAAAATTTTTGGTGAGTCACTTATTTTTTCATATTAATATAATTTATACCAATTTTTATATCAATCACTAATTTTTGTATGCACCATTTATATAATGCATGCTAAATATAAAATTAATTAGATATATCTAACTATTTTTTAGTAACATATAATTTACCTCTAAATAAATGATATAAAAATATAATTTTTTTCCAATGGTTATATATCAAATAAATTTTAAATTTAGAATATTTGATCTACATAAATAAAATAACTTCAACCATTTTAGTTTAATGGAATATAAATTATATATAATTAATATTTGTATAAGTTATATCAATGTAACCAGATCTTATCTATTTTTTTAAAAGTTTTTCTTACATAGATAAAATTATCATGTCTTAAGAATTAGTCACAAAAAAGAGATGATACTATAATTTGAACTTCAAAAACAAAATTTTGTAGAAAAACAAAAAATAACATACCACATTTGACGTTTTTCAAAAGTTTAGGGGGTGAGGCCCCCCCACCCTCTTTCTCTCTCTCTCTCTCTTTCCTTTTCTTCTCTCTTCACATCCTAACTACCTCCGTCCCTGTCCCAACCCATTTTATGGCCCATTAACTCATGCACCGAAAAATAAAACAAGAAACGAGCAGCATGAGGATTTACTGAAACAACGGGAATCCCATCAAATTTATTATTTATTATTAACAATGACCTTTTCCTGGAAATGATAGAAGCACAATGCTATCATACAGAAAACCAACGAAGGGCAGAGCCTTTGTAAAGTAGCAAGCTTCCCCTTCGGAAGGTTTTATATATACATATGATACAAATTGAATAAATTCAATGATTAATATATTGAAAAAAGAAAAAACACTTTTGCTATGGGTAAAGTGTAAATAAAACTATGTAAATATTTGCTGGATTACTGTCTCAGCATTTCCATTGTATTGCGCAAGGAGATGAATAGCATCAGCTCTCGGCAAAGCAAGAAATTCCTGCGTTAAACAAGATATATATAACTTTACGTTATTCCTGAGGAACCAAGGTTCATGAATAAAGTTAAAAGCATGTAGTATATGAAAAAATAAGAAAGCAGCACTTCTTGATTTTGCAGCAAAATCATCCAGGACATATATATGTAAGGAACATGCTCAACTTACCATTACTTTAAGTATGGCGTTCTCATCACAAACATCGGAGGTAAATGATTGATTAGGACTACTCCCATCTTCTGATGTCCGGGTACTCGAGGAGATAATAACTTGTGAAGATCCAAGGCTGCAACTATCAGCATTTGATTTTGTCGTGGCAGCAGAAACAAGCACAGCAGCATTGTTTTCCTTCAGTGAATCTATTCTAAGGAGACTCTCAAAGCGATCTTTACACATTTGGAGTTTAAACCATTCAGTATGCGTGTGAAGGGTTGCTCTCATTATCCTCATGAGTAGAGGTTCATCGATACCAATTTTCTTACCAACAGCAACCTACATAAGATAAAAACAAAATACAAAATTATATTCTGAAAAATTGATTATATATTAAGAATTAGAGATACGTAAATGCATTTCCTCAAATCAAAATTACTAGCAATCCAGGTAAGAATGTATTAAAAAGTTGCACCGAGAACAAACTGGGATCTGAAGTCTATCTGCCTTAACCAACTTTAAGTTGCCAGGTAAGAATGCAGAACATAATAGAGTCCCAGTAAAAATTTTCAGCACAAGATAGTACAACTTCCATCACATAATTCTAAATGGGATTTTTTCAGCTTTGATGCAATTAACATGAACTTATAATAAAAGCCAAGAACAAGAGAAACTAATTGACAAATAGGAAAACATTTAAACATTACATTTAGTTTCCCTAGTGAAGAGAAAAGATGCAGTTAACTAAAAAATATTCTGCATCATAATCTGCATAGGCTACATATTAAAAAATATATGACACCCAAGATGTTGAATAAATTGTACAGTGTACTTGCTGTCATCCAACAGTAAAGAAACCAGCCCTATAGAAATCATCATATACCTGAATTGACGTGGCAAGTACATTTAAAGGCAGGCCTCTTCTTAACGCATCCTCATTAGGTTGAAGTAGAGCCAACAATGTCTCCTTCAGGGGCTTTAGCAAAGCAGGGTCTTTTGCTGCCAACGGACCCAAGTGGGAGGATGCAACCCTTAAAGCACCAGAATGATCACCAGCACTGACCAGTTTTAGAAATTCAACCTAAACCCAACAGAGAAGTCAGACGTGACAAACTACATAGAACTTAATCAAGCAAAACAGGATTATTCCTAAATATTTTCTTAATGAAGCCGTTGACATTATTTTCAACCCCTTACTTTTCTGCTCAAGAGAAAATCAGTTTACCTGCTTAAGTTGGAATAGCAGAATAGGATTTTGCACAAAAAAGTTGGGTTCCATAGCATTAATTTCCTCCACAACCTCGGCAGCCATTCCCTGGCTAGCTAGATCCTTCAACCCCAGAACAATTTCATATTTATCTTCCCTCTGGACATTTTCCATGGCCTGCAGACAAAGGTTTAATCAATTATCATTTAGCAACTATCAAAATAAAATGTGATACAAATTGCACACATACCTGTTGTTCCTTTGATATATTTATGCTGGTCGTTGAGGTTGCTGTGCTTTCTTGCTTACTGCAGCCTCTAGAGGAAACATTAGGAGTACCGCTGAATTCATCATGTCTTCCCCTCCAGCGCTTCCGTTTATTCCTTTCTCCAATTCCATGGGCTCTGCTTTTCAGACTTGAATTTCCAGGCTGAGGCAATCCACTAGTACTACAATCTTCAATGTTGCTGGCTGGCTCACAAGCATATCTTATTTCAGAATCACTTACAGGATGGCTAGTCACATCAGTAGTATTTTCTGGTGAGACCTCAGACTTAGTATCACTAGCAGAATGTTCCCCATCTGATTGCTTAATGGCACTACAATCCACTTCAAGAGTTGAGTTTCTTGATGAACAACACCCAGGCACAGGCTCTGCTTGATTAGCTTTTAAACTTTCAGAAGTGGTTTGCCTCCCTGGAAAAAAAATACTTTTATCATAATTCTAGATGAGTAAACTAGAATTGTTGTAAATATGTTAAAGAGAAAGGTAAAGAGCAGAGATTTACCAGAAGGGTAAGCAAGACTAGATTCCACAATTCCCCTGTAAACACAATACTCGTGAACGAGTTCATCAAGAGTGGAAACATCCAACCTCATCCGACATAGTTCATTCTGATTTAAAAATAATGTATAAACAGGCCAAGTAAGAGTAATGGTGATTATTAAGTAAAAACTTGAAACAAGTAGGGATATGGCCACTTCCCATCCCTATCCAGGGAGAGAATTTATAGTGACAGGTGACAAAGACTAGAATAGTTTTCAAAATTTTAAAGATAGAATAGGTTTTCTTTTCAGTGAGTGACCAACAATCTAAATTTGAATTTTCCCAAACTAGCATGGCCAGAGACTACAACTTTCAACTCTAAATACTAAATTTCAAATACCATAGCATTAAAAATAGTAAATAACAGAAAGAAGAGTTTGAAAATTTTTTAACCTGAAATGCCTGAAATAAATCACCCTTGGCAAATCTCAAGCTATCAATAGCCCCCTGTCTTGTAAGCTCTACTGCATGTGCAAGAGCCTGTATATCAACCTGCATTTGAAAATCAACACAAAAAGGTTCAATGGTTTCAAAGCCATCCATTTGCCTAAAATAAATAAATAAAC